GCTCTAAGACTGGAGTGATCTGTCACAATACACTGGCTCCTGCCGTATGATGTATCCAGTAAAATATACTAATGTACACCCATTACCTGTTAGCATTAGTGTTACCCGATAATTTCCTGAAACGAAATATTGCCACGCCCATGGCCGGTTCTTATCTCGGGGTTTTATTACTCTCTTTCATTTCCAAACAGACTTTAATTAATGATTCACGTAAATGTCTATATATTTTTTTCATCATACCATTTACATTTTTGCACCCATAATTCTATTGTAAGGGCATGCTTCATACCATTTCCCATAAGAACCTATGCCAAATATTCAAATTTTTGGTTTTTATTAAAAACAAAAGCAAATCGATAAATAATTCGACAATAATTTATAGAATTTGATTTGCCGTTGCATAAAAATATATAATCAAATCAAGAACGTGTGGTTACACAGGAAATTATATACAACGCAATGCTGCCAACCGCATGTCTCGCGCGTAATTTAAAATGTTCGGTTATTTTTTTAACAGACCTCGTATTGGATTAGAAAGCGTAGAAAACGCTACAAATTTTTCCCAGGTCGTCCATTTGCGTAAGTTACGAGGTCTTACGATATTTTCCAATAAATTTTCGACTGTATCTCTGAAAATAAACGAGACGCGGGCACACCGAAGCTATTTTAAAGTTTCTGGTACTCGATTTATCATTACGTAGAGTTTAGAAAATATTTTACTTGCGAAAATAGGGCTCCTTCACGGACTTTTAAGAGCATGTCTCAATCCTCATACTCATAATCAAAAACGAACTATTTGTGTTTACGACTCCTAAGTTCTAAGTGACGCGCTATATAAATTAATCGAAGTGACACCACGCGACGTTTTAATTTTATTCAAACAGTGACAAGGAATTTTAAAAAAGCAACACATATTAATCACATTATACGTTTGACCACCTGACCAGTAGCATGCACCAAGGTTTTTCCAAAATTCTAGTAATTATTCAGCGGTTACATAAAAGCGTAGTATTAAACACCGTCGCATTCCTGACACTAACAGGATACAGAGGCGTAGACATTAAATTTTAACGTAAGAAACATATTATTAATAAGAATTCTTTCTGGGAAATAACTGATATCTTCTTAAATGGTTGTAGGTAACAATTAGGAGAAAAATCTTGAATCATAAATATTTTTATTTTTATTTTTAATGTAAATATACTCGTGCAGTCAAATTATATTAAAAAATATCGCTTCTAAGAATTTTTGTATTCTGGGAATGAATTAGGTACCTATTAACTTGTTTTTTTTTTCAACAATTAGATTTATTATACTTATTCGAGCTGTTGTAGAAAATGATGTAATACACATTATACAAACAGGATCTTATATGTATAAATATATTTTAAACAGCTTACTGTGTAGAGGTAAAAAAAACATAAAATCTAGAATAAACGTGCATAAAAGAAAACTTATTAAGGACCGCTGATTTCAGTAGAGTAGTAACGGCACATGTGAACCAGCAAATTCAGATGAGCGGAAATCGTAGGCCTGCAGAAACTCTCCACAATTCACCAGCTGTGAAATAAACAAACACGTATTTCAAAATTTTGCTGTTCGGAAATCGTATTCGATAAAATGTTTAAACAAATATTTCTTACAGTAGTTTATGTGGATTCCTAAAAACATGAATAAATACATACTCTATAGATTTATATATAAGTATTCAAGATATTTGCAATACATTTTAAAAATAAAATGTTTTCTAACGATTGCACTAGTATAAAATTGTTAATACGGTCCTGATCAAAGCTTCTGCCACTGAAAATGTCCGAATGAGATCAAAATGCCAACAATAGACTGAAACCGTTTGTTTACACATGTCGTGTCTTTAGTCCTCTATTATAATAGCGCGCCAAATTTGAAATAATTTGTAAGAAAAAAATTTTGAACGAACATTATGCCCCTGCAATTACGCCCTGTATATAAAAAACCTGTGTCATGCATGTAAGTTCATGGACAATCAATATTGAAGCTGCAAACTTTTGATTGCTTCCGACATTTTTCTTTTTGTAATTTAATTCTGGTACAAGTCCGAACATTGAAGCGAAACTGTTGATTTCCTCAGTCGTCTTAAACTTTGCAATTGGTTTCAAAATCAAAGTGCAGCGGATTTTATTTATTAACAAAGTGCTCTGGACGGATGAGTATTGTTTTAGCCGTACTGGCATTTTAAATAGGTAGGTACCGTACTACTTTTTGAAAACCAATAAGCCACTAAGTATACGTACTGCAAATTGAATAATTAATCCAGGGAACGAATAGGAAAATAGGGTAAAACCTCCAAATACTTTCGGATAGATTCGATTTTTATGAAAATTTGGAATTAACTTATTTCACCCTGTAGATGAAAAGTTATATATGCTTCATATGCGCTTCTTATTTTTAGGGGATGAAAATTACCTCTTATGCTAAAAAACTGAATAAATATAAAAATAGGTGTTATATAGACTAAAATCATATCTTAATATATAGAATAAATATTGTTTTATATTATGGGTTATAATTTACGTTATTTTTATAAAGTTTCAACCCTTAAAAACCACCCTTAATGATAAAAATATAAAATTAAGAGTTTCTTTGACCTTAAAATATTTTTATAGCACATATATTATATATAGAAATATTTTCAATAGTTTATGGTGTTATAAATAATGTATTACAATATTTCAACCCTTAAAAAACTACCCCTAATAACGAAACATTAAAAAAAATAGTTTTTAACAGTTTGAAATGATTTGATAGTATAAACAAGATAAATTAAATAATTCTTTTACGTGTTTATAATACAATATAATTTATGGCATTGTTTTAACCACTCCAATGATAAAATATAATAATCCAATAAACAACGCAAATTAATTTTTTTTTCGTAATAACTTTCTTTCTCGCGATTTACTTTAATTTATGCAATATTCAAAATAATTTTTTCATGGTTCATGGTTTCATTTGTTTTTAATCCCGTATTATATAATAATATTTTAATGCGGTAAAAAAGTGGGATAGAATTAACACGCAGCGACATAGAAGACACCCACGCTCTCTTGTTTTGTTGAGTTGAGCATTTCGTTTCTAGGACATATTGGTAAGGCTCGTTCACAAATTGGAGGTTATTAAATATGATAAGATTTAACTAAATATATGAACATTTCAAGTTTTCCTCGTTTTGGATTCATACTAAAGGTGTTTCCATCAAGAAATATTTTCTTAACCATTATCTATGTAAAATAATCTAATTATTGAAAATTCGAAAATTATTTCTCACCATTTTCTTTACATCACTGGATTCTAAACAGAACAGCGCTTGCTCAATGAAATATCTAAGTTATTGCGGTCCGCGTCCGCCGTAGATAAATTACTGTAAATCGAGACGCCACTGGCAGAGACAAACGAACATCATCTAGTTGTCGTCTGCCGGGCGCCAGATTCCCAGCAAGGTCGAGATGCGACCTCCCGAAGGTAAGTACAAAGTACCCTCGTTCGGTCCGATGGTCAATGCTACTGGTCATCCGTTGATTTCTTGGAGTTCATAAACATGCGGTCGGTTGGGATTCCTTGAACATCCGGCTGGTGTAGAAGGAATGCCGTCGGGGACGAAGAAGCAGTTATTTGTCGCTCAAAAACCCGAAAAAAAAGGCTTAGAAGAAAACGTTATTTTAAGAATACCGCAGGAGTTAATCAAAAGCGGCACGGTTTAAAAAGTCTTGCAAATCTGCAGTTCTATTGAAATTTAACAGTATGAAACAGAGAAATTTTTTTGCCCTGAAATTTGAAGCACCCTGTAGAGGCGCCACGTACAGGGTGAGTCACTATATTTTTACCCCCCCCCATTAACTTTTTTCTTTTAAGAGTTATAAAAAAATGTAAAATACAAAAGTTGCACGATTTTTTATCAATTTTTCGAAAATGACATTTGAAAAACAAATGAAGTCCAAATAAAATGGCTTTGTTAATTTAAATGAAACACCCTGTATATTTTACATATTTGGATAGAACGTTCTCTGTCGAGCATAGTTGGGTCCATCTCTAACAATAAGCGAGATATTATTAAAAAAGGCATTTCTGCCTTTTTTCCAATTACGTAAGAATTTACAGATTTAGTTGTAATATATTTTGACATACACTGAACCAAAAATGTGCCTAAATACAACAAAAAACTTCATTAAGACAATAAATTTCATTATAGATTTTCAGCCGATGAAGAAATTCATTGTTACAATGAAGAGTGCTTCACTGACTCGATGAAAGTAACCTTCTTTCGTTAATGAACAAAATTTCTTAAGCTAGTGAAGATTTTCATTATTCTAATGGAAGTGATTCTTTGTTTCAATGATTCCCAATTCTTCAATTTAAAGAATTCCTGCATCAAGCTAATGAAATATATTATCTGTATTAATGAACTTAATTCTTCAAATAAAAGAATGCGTTTTTCGATCTAATGAAAAGGTTCATTGAGACAATGAAAAGGTTCATTGAAACAATGAACTTAATTCTTCAAATAAAAGAATGCGTTTTTCGATCTAATGAAAAAAATCATTGAGACAATGAACTTATTTTTTCAAATAAAAGAATGCGTTTTTCGATATAATGAAAAGAATCATTGATACAATGAATGTATTCTTTGTATTAATGTATTGGGTTTCATTCAGTCAATGAACCTATTCAGTCTCATAATGAATTTGAGCTTTCATGTTTTTAAATTTTAGTAACAAATAATAAGGTAAAAAATAACTAAAAATTAACTTTCGAATTTTTTATTCGCTAGTATTTAAATAGCTACATAAGATTTGTACCTTTGGGTATTTACAAGTAGGCTTAATTTTGTAAACATGAAATTCTAGAAAGCTAAAGAACATTTCACTCTCGAGAGGGAATTCTAAGTCGAAAAGATATAGTAAATTTGAAACGAATCTCATCAAAATGTATGAAAATTTCATCGATTTCGAAAATGTTTTTACCAATACGGTATATTGATGGTTGAAGTGATTGCTTGGTTCGCTTGAGATGATTGATTCTATCTTCGACTTCAATCAGATTATCGCCGACAAAAATCACAGATTCCTGTGACTCTTTTATGGTGAATTTGGTGGTTGTTTTTTTCCCCGTCACATCCTTTTTGATAATTTTTGTCGTTGGAACTAAGTAGCCATGTAATGCCCAAATACCAACAGCATGTAGTCCGTCTAGAAAGGCAATAATAGAAATAGTTAATAATTATTGTTTAAAGCGCTTTAGTACCTACATGTAAAATTAGTAATATAAGATTACGTACATAAAAATAAAGACAGCTCTAATGTAGGAAAATGATTATTACTTATTAGACTAGCTGATGTAATTTTACTTACTCTCTGACATTGTGGCGTCTTCTAATTTTTCGAGTAGAGTTTTTACTGACTTTTCTTTAACATGGTTTTGTCGTCAAAAAAGTATAAATTTTTCTCAAAACTCCATCAAAGTGTTCCAGTAAGCCAGCCACATTACAACTACGGAACGCTAACTTGAAATCCATATCAATCTAAAACAAAAGTCAATTCATCACATCACATCTACAACATCTACAACTTCAACAATTCTTACCAGCCTATATCCAGCCGGGGTTTTGTAGAAGGGCCATTTCGCAATAATCTCAAAAGTTGCTTTTGAGTTCTTAATGAAGTGCTGTGGATATCCCCAACAATCCCAACATGCTTTCCAAACAGTATCAAATTGTTCTGCTGTAAGATTATCAATGTAACCTTCGGTTCTTAAATATTTGTATAATAGGTATTCTGTCTTTAAGGATCGAAATGGAACTCTAAAATTTGACAATAGAGTACACAATTCATTGAAGAGGTGTGGTTCATTTTTTTCGAAGTAAAACCTGGCAAAAGCCATGAACGTATTTAACAACGGATCCAATAGATATTTGTTAACATGTTCTTGAATTGTAACTACATCTTTCCTAGAAAAGTTGTCATTGTTATGAAGAAGGAGTAAAAACGTTGAAGCAGCGTGAGTCATTCCTTTCCGAAAAGTATTAAATTGCAATTCTTCGGGTTCGGGTTGCATGGGTACAGGTCTATCTGTAGAGTCAGCAGAGTCTACTTCAACTTGGTCATTTGGAAATTACTTAACTGTTGATATATTTATTAAATTTTGTGCTTCACTAAAACTACTGTTGTTTGAACATGATTCTTCCTAATAATCATCTCTATTAATAGAATGAATCTGATTGACATGTCTTTTAAATGAAGCAAAATTTTGAAAGCTTTGACTGCATTCTAAGCATCGGAATGTACAACTGGATAATTCGAAAATTTCTAGTTTATAATTATTATATATGTTGGTATAGTTCAACGGAATAGGTATATAGGTGCTACAAACGAAACATTTTAACTCCAAGTACCTACATATCATAATAATAAATTTATCTCTTACCTGTGTCCCTGTGTGCCCTCCTAAAATTTTTTTAAACACTCACAATATACGGGTATACCCCTAAGCTGACAAGACGAAGATTGAGTGAAAACCGCGCGAGTAGAGTACATATTGCTATTTTTAGATTTTGGCCGTTGTAGATTTGCGAGTGGGGCTGTTATTAATGAACAAATTCATTGCATTGATAACTTGTTGGCTTTGTTATAATGTAAAACTTCATGACTTATTTTTTCTTAGAAGTAATAATTGAAGATATGCATAATACTAATGAACCGTTTTCATTATTATTATGTAATATGAAAATACTTCATTGAAGAGGACTTCATTGTGCCAAAGAATACACTTTCATAATAGCAATGAACGAGTTCATCAGTCCATAAACAATTGTTGATTGAGAAGATGAAAATAATCATTAAGCCAATGAAGAAGACTTCAGTGTGCCAAAGAATACACTTTCATAATATCAATGAACAAGTTCATTAGTCCATAAGCAATTGTTTATTGAGACGATGCAAATTTTCATTAAGCCAATGAAAATAAGTTAATAACGACCGTTCATTAATACTATGAACAATATTTTTTTCAGTGTAGGTATTTTAACTAAATCTCACTAATTAGGCCGTGAGAGGCCTAATTACTCATGGACAATGTTATATGGTAAGCCGTGTAAAATTTTATTCAGAACAAAAGTATGTGGCACTTTTTTTGATTTTTTTATACTAAATTTTGAAGTATTATTAATTTTTTGTTAAAATGGCAAAGCTTTCCGATGAATTAAAAAAAAACGATCAGAACGGGTTGACATATTCGTGTCGATTTGTAATTTTCACGGACGGTGTTTTTCTTAAGTACCTAACTTTAATTGTATTTAATCTATATTTTTAGTGAATTTTGGTGTATTCAGCGAAAACATTGGTATGAGAATTAAGTATATTCCAAATGACAAGTATTTCTTCCTATTTTATATAAAAAATCAGAGTTAAAGAATTTTTGTGTAATATCGAAAACACTGCATAGCTGATCTACGTTAAGCGTAAATTGAATAGTGAAGTCAGCGGTTCTCAACAAGTTTTCTATTAAAAAATCATGCATAAGTACTTTTTTATTTTGAGTTTTTATTCTCAGTTTTTTCATAGACATATGAAACTTTTTCAAGAACTTTTTCCTATACTCAATGAAAGTTTATTGGCCTCAGAGCATCTAAATTGTAACACCCACTGAAAAAACGCACATTTTAAGACCCCAAGGCTTTCCCTGATATTAATCTTTAAAAGATATCAACGGTGCGTCAGGAAACGAACCCTAGTAACAACCTTCGCATAAAATCTAGTAACACACGAAACGATTATTCATTTGTTATTTACTTTTTTGAGAGAGTGATAAAACTTCGGGATTTTTTCCACTCGCATTTTATTTATTTCGAAACAGAAACGGTCGCGGGGAATTTCGTGTTTACCTACACCTTTTTCTGAAACGACGCTCTACGCGGATCTTCCCGTGGCACAATTAATAAATAACGCTTTATTAAGTTGCACGGTTTGTTTCATTGATGGCCAACCTTGTTTTCTTATTATTAATCATTGTAAACACGGTTACATCATTTTGTAAACAAGACACAAGTCGGGCAGCCTCCAAATCAACCATAACAATTAAATGATGGCGAACGCGACGTTGCCAGATCGTGAAAATAAACTAATTAGGTAAAACGACATAATAAGTTTTTGTGATATACAAAGATATATACATGTCATATATCTACTTTGGTAGTTCGCGCAATATTTTGGTTTATTTACTGATCTTGCACATAATCAAGATTGCCATGGAATTACTACGTGGGAATATTTTATTAGAGAAACTTTTTCTTCCTTAAGTAGTACTGTATTATTTTTTCCATAAAAAAAATATGTAAAGGTCTTTTTAGTAAATTTAATAGGGCATGTAATCAGAAAATGGAGATTGTTCCAATAAGCGACAAATACATGGTATTAAAAAAAGAGTGTAAAATATTTAAGGAGGTAATAGTTTGAACCAAAATAAGCAGAAAAGTCTCAATAAACATGGGTCCGCAAAGTAAAGGTTGCGGAGATATGGAACGTTTTATGTTTTTTTATTTTGCAAAAACGTTGTGTATTTTCTTATAATAGTTGGTTGATGTTTAGTGAAATAAACAGTACGTATTTGACAGTTGTTCTCAGTGCACAAGTTTTCTTTCGCTATGGCTGGTTACTCTAACGCAGAATTAACAGACATGCATTTCATGTATGGTCGTGCTAATGGGAACGCCACCGAAGGGCGACGTCTTTATGTTGACGCTTATCCAAATCGCCAGATTCCTTCACAACGCATGTTTGGAAGAATTCACCAAAGATTGCGTGATACCGGTTCCTTGAGCAAACAGTGCCATTTATCCGGAAGACCAAGGTCAATATCCACTCCTAGAGCAGAAGAAGAAATTCTAGCACTGGTAGAGCAGAATCCAGGTACGAGTGTGCGGAGAATATCAGCCGAGGTAGGAATTAGTGGACCTCTTGTTTGGAGAATCCTTCACGAGCAACTGCTTTATCCATACCATGTGCAACGAGTACAGGCCTTAAATCCAATAAATGATCATCAAGCACGTTTGTTTTTTTGCCGCTGGTTTCTACGTCATGATGCTGAAGACCCTCGTTTTCTTGCAAACATTCTTTTTACTGATGAGGCCGGGTTCACAAGAAATGGAGTGTTTAATTTTCACAATACGCATATTTGGGCCGACGAAAATCCTCATGCTCTATTAGAATGTGGACATCAGGCACGTTTTTCATTAAACATTTGGATGGGTATTGTAGGTGACAGGTTTCTAAGTCCTGTTGTTTTACCAAACCGATTAACAGGCGCTGCTTACCTCAACTTTCTGCAGAATACACTGTATGAGTTTTTGGAAGACATTCCTTTGAATCAGAGGCAACAAATGTGGTTCCAGCATGATGGTGCTCCAGCTCATTTTTCCATGGCCGTTAGAGAGCATTTACACCAAACTTTTCCACATAGATGGGTAGGAAGGGCCGGACCTGTTTTATGGCCTCCAAGATCGCCTGATCTGAACCCTCTAGATTTCTTTGTTTGGGGATATTTGAAGACATTAGTGTATGGTACTCCTGTAAATAGCCTGGAAGAGCTGCAGCTACGGATTAATCAAAAGTGGCAAGAAATCCAAACCAAGGAGGGTGTTTTCGAAAGAGTTCGAATATCGTTGAGACGAAGATGTCGTGCCTGCTTGGAAATGGACGGAGGCCACTTTGAACATCTTCTGTAACTTTGTTTTTTGTTTGTTAAAAGCTTCCTTTGTCGGTTTATTCCTAATAAAATAAAATGTTTGAAAAACGAATAGTGGTCCATATCTCCGCAACCGTTACTTTGCGGACCCATGTTTATTAAAACTTTTCTGCTTATTTTGGTTCATACTATTACCTCCTGAAATATTTTACACTCTTTTTTTAACACCCTGTATATAGGGTGTTTATTTAAAAAAAAACAACACATTTGTTTATACAGTATGAACAGCCAAAAGGGACAAATGCAGTATTAGTCCGGTCGGTATCTGTTTTAAAAGTAGGTTGTATGAATGTTTCATATAGTAACGCTAATTTTTATCGAAAATAGTTCTAAATATTATGTAAAATGATAATGGCGATATGCGCCCGCATAATTGTTAACGCAAGAAAATTTAAAAAAAAGTTAAAAGGCGCATTTTTCTTCCTTCTTTCATGTTCAACTCGGAAAATATTGACATTAGAGAAAATAATAATCAAAGGAAAAAAAGTTTCGTTTTGAGATTCTCTTCAAAATAAAAGGGGTCTGAAATTTTTATGTGCATTATTGTTGCTGCAATACAATATAGACCGAAAATAAATTTGTGAAAAAAGATGTTTCTTTCATAAATTTATTTCGGACCTAGACTTTAAAGCAGCCATATCGGCCGGGTAGATTTCGCCCAT